CAAATTCCTAGTACAAAAATTTATTAAAAATAGTGAAAAAAGTATGGCCAAATAAAAAATTGTGATTGAGTTCTAAAATGTAAAGGAATAAAAAAGTTGTCCCAAACAAAATTTAAATCTAAAATTTTAAAATCATACTTAAATTAGATTATCAGATTTTTTTTTTTTTTATTCCTCTCTACACTTAACATCACCTCAACCAGCCCACAACATATGTCCACTTACCTCAAAGTTAAATGGGCCTCTTTCTTATTGGGACTAACAACTTCAAAGCTAAATGGGCCTTCTTTCTTGCATCTACTATCGAACTAGTGGCCGAAAAGCCCATCCATTTCTATCTCTTATATGCTCCAAGGAAATGCTAAAACTCAAATATTCTTAAAATTTTGGGTTTATTAGAATTAAAATAATTTTTGGGTCAAAATTTGTGCAATTCTATTTTTTTTTTAAATGAAGTGAGATTTCCAGTTGTATATCAAAGGCATTGATTTATATTAAAATGATTGAAATATGAAAATTAAATTTAAATTAAATATCTTATATCTCAAATAGTTAATTATGAAATAAAAACAGTTTAATATTGAGTTATTAAATATATGTATTTGAATTTAATATTTTGAAATTTATATTTAAAAATAAATGTATAATAAGTTAGTTAAATTATAAACAAAATAATTATTTTTTTTTGCTTGAATTTAAACTTTAAAAAATGGCATGCATCATATGTAAATGTTAAATATCAAATAAAATAATTATATATTTTTAATTAAAATTATGTCATATGTCATATTTAAATAAATAAATAATGATCTATATTAGCTCATAAAATATAGAGAAAATTTTCATGTTGATCGTTAAAGAGTTTTACATCATAATTTTATAAGAAGATTCAATGGACACATAAATAAATAAAAAATAAATGAAGGAAACGTTTAAGCTTTTACATGAAAAATCCAAAAAATAAAAAAATAAAGACCATGGGCTAAGTATAGTTGAAATAACCAACTATATCGTTGAAGATATAAAATTTCACTTTTCCCAAGCTATAATTGGAGAAGACATTACTATGAAATTAAAAGTATTTATTTGGTCTCATGAAGTTGCATAAAGACTATAGGAAAAATACTAGAGAAATGGTGATGATAGTTGCACAATGTCAGTCAAGCAATAGTTTTTGGACGATCTTAGTTGAGTGATGGTGGTCGGGTGATACAGATGGACAATGGAGGTCAGATGATGTTGAATGAGCTATGTTAGCCAATCAGTGATGATCAAGCAATAATGTTCAAGCTATGGTGGTAAGGTAATGCTGATCGGATGACAATGGCAGCTAGCAATGATCATCAGCATCAAATGTCAAGTAGAGCTTCAGAGTTCTTTAGATCTCCAAGCAATATTCAATCTCAAGTATAGGCTGTTTATACGATCCTATTTATAACAATTTGAGAGTGACATTTGGATAAATTTAATCAAATTTTTATAACACCTCGTCAAACCATCTATGTTAATTCTTTAATTATAGATAGTTTATTCAGTATTTAATTTCCTTAAGCACCTCAAAATCAACTAATCATGAGCCCATTGAGTTCAGCTCATTGAACATCTCAATTTAATTATAATCTTGCAAGATTTGTATACAGTTTGATCTTTCAATTAAAATAAAGAAGTTTTCAAATGTAATTCAAGCACTTGATTTAGGATACTTAAGCATTGTTTGTGACGGCTTTTTTATTGCTTCTTAAAGTAGATTTTTAGTACAATTTTTTTTATAGAAAACTGCTTTAAGAAGTAATAAAAAAGTTGTCCCAAATGAAGCCTTAG